ATATAGACTGCAAACCACTGAAAACCTTCAAATCTGAGCAGAAAGGGACATGGTGGATAACAGGGAGACACAACACACACTTTCTTTCTGTGGCATCTCCCTCCGGGTTGCTGTCTGAATTTGAGAAGTTATGTTTTTTACTGCTCAGGACATCTCTTCCTACTCAACGTACAGGCTGCTCGTTCAGCAGTTCTGTTTGCAAGTTAGTCTGGTGTCTGGCAAAGAAATGCTTGGCTTGCAGGATCTAAATTCTGCCTAAGGCATTTTGGTTTTGCTGCCCTATAGAAAAAAGGGGCAGTTGCCTCGACAATTGGCTTGTCTCGTCTCCCAAGAGTGGGACTTCTTTGGAGTCCATTGCCCAGGGGCTGGGGTGCACGTGATTATCTGGGGGTACCATAAGTAATCCTTGCCCTCTTCTCTCCTTGTCTTGTGACAGTGGAGTTTCCTTCTGCATTTTCCAAGGACTTTCTAGGGTCAGCAAGCTCCTTCTTTTTGCTTGTGCTACCAGTCTGTTGAGGCAAAAAGCAACTATAGCCAAAACTAACAGAGCCAATCTGTAAGAGATGGTGAAAGTTTTGGAAGCTTAGCAAATGCAGCACTTTGGGATTGTCTCTCTCCTGGGCAGAAGAGGAAAAAGACTTGTTACTTGCTACACAACTAAGTACTTTCTAAACAAATGTGGGAGAAAAAAATGTGTGCAAACCTGAAAGCATCCATGTATTGATAAGGTTGCCAAAATCTGAAGTCTCTCAGGAATGGATAAGTTCTTGTTTTCCTTTTCTCTCTTACACAGGTGATTCCTAGGAAAGATCACAGAAGTCATGGAAGACCTGCGTGCTAGTTTCATCATCTGTCTGGTAAGCAGCCATCCTGAGTTTGGCATAAAGTTTGATGGATCCTTGTGATAGGGGATGAGTGACTCATGACTCACAACTTACCTGTAATTTGAGAAAGAAAGCAGTGTGGCACACATTATTTTGAGAGAGTTTTAAGTTTTGTGCCTCTAATCTGGGTGCTTAGGTTGAAGACAAATGGGGAGTGTTTTCAGGCTGCTTGAGCTCCAATTGCTCCAACTTCTGAAAATCAGGGATGCTTTCTTTCCAAAATGGTAAATAATTCCAAATAATTGGAAGCTACTTCTGAAACTTTGCTTGAGTTAAAATACAGGGCAGAAAAGAAGGATTCAAAAGAGAGGAAATCTCTCGTATGGAACATTTAATTTTAGGCACCTGGGACTATGTTTTGAATTTTAGCTAAATTATTATTATAGAGAATGGGGCCTGTTAGAAAGGACATAGCCACCTGAAAACCCCTTGTTCAGGGATGTTGGGACTCTGGAGAAATCTAGGAGAAAGGAGTGAAGGTCTGTTAATAAGTAATTCGTTCCTGGTTCCTTCAAACTTAGGAATTGTCTCTCCCGCCTTGAGCTGGCAGTTAGCTCGCTGGTCTGAGGGCTCCCTCTATAGTCAAAGGATAGTTGGTATTTGTAGAGGCTAACTGTGGTATCCTCTACTACGGTGTGGCGAATTTTATTGCATTCTCTCTCTTTTCCATAAAGGTGGTACTAATTGCTGTCTCATAACAAAAACGAAAGAGCTAGCTTAGAGCTTGGCCCACAAGTGAGATGTTTTACACCTGCTCTGTTAGTCGAGTGGTTACGGATAGGCCGTTGGTACCATTGTGCAGAACAGTATCAGTTATTAGCAAGTGTGATATGAAGCCAAGTCCATCTGTATTTGTGAAGCTCTCAGATCACATTGCAATAGTTGTTTTGTGACAGCATGTCTAGCACATGCAAACTAGTTTACTGTTCTTCCTGGAATAGATTGTCTAAGTGTTAACAGGAAAGCAAGCCACAAATAAGCAATAAAAACAACTTCAACTGCAAAGATGTCTGAGCAAGAGAATTCGAAAGAATGCTGATATTTCTGCCTAAGTTCTGCATAAAGTTCCACATAAAGCTTTAAGTAAATTTTAGGGGGAAAAAAAGTGTTTCTGTTGCCTGAAGAGTACTTGGTTTCACCTGAAACCTCAAAACCAAATTACCACTGGAACGTTTCTTTGGGGAATTAGCATCCTACCCTGATGCTGCATTTTAAAAGATTTCTTCAAGTCACAATATATTTTCAATGTTATTAGCACTTGTCCTTGAATAGTGGAGAAGTTTAATGTCTATTACTGTTTTTCACATTGACAAGGGATGATTTCTTATCTTCTAGTTGTTTATATGTTAAATACATTAAATGTTAAATACTTACACAATGCTCACCAGGGACACTTGCAACGTTCCTCCCTCCACTCTTTTAGTTGAAAAGACTGTCAGTTAAGTCTGTGTGGTTTTCCCTGAAATCAAGGAGTCTCTTGGGATGTAGCCTAACACTGGAGTGGGCTGGGATGGGTGAGAGAGGACACTTGATTATCTTTTCCAACTCAAGAGAAGGAAAGGAACTGCTGACAGGGGGAGGCAGGGGGAAGGGAGGAAGAGAGAGAGAGAAAACTTGGGCATGGAAGTCATTTAAGGGCCACCAGATTTGCAGCAGACCTGAAATTTTCAGGTTCTTAAAAAAAGTTGTAGTTGGGCAAGGTTCAGAACTTAGTGGCATTATGAGGTTGTTTCAGCAGAAAATTGTAGAGCACTGGGAATTTTGTATCTCGCTTCTGGGTTGATTTATTAATGCCTTTGGGGTTTGCATTGGATAATGTGTATGAGTTATAATGTATTTCTAATTAAAAGCAAAACCCACATGAGGTATCAGAAAGAAGATAGTGTGAGGTGTGTTTCTGTAGTCAAGATTCTAGGGTAAGGACTACAGGTGTGGCCACAAATGAGCAATATAATTTATTTTGGCTGATCCAACTCTTTTTCTTTATACCTTTATCAAAAGGAAAAGGTAATAAGTAGTTCTTGCCTGGATCTTTTTAATACTGATGTAAAGCCCTAGAAAACATTACACAAAACCTGATAATTTTTGTGTCCTGCATTGCTAAATTTAGTGGTCAATCTCAAACATGCGATGGAACCTGGCTTTAAATTGATTATTGTATACAGACCTGTGAAATCTCAGGCTTCTGGGGTGAGACACATCCTCTTTCTCACACGTGTTTTGGTTTTCCCCAAAATGGTGCCATACCCTGTAAATTTGCAGTGCCACAACCCAGCCTGTCTACTAGGGTGCTCGACGCTGCCCAGCTGGCTTTGTCCGTGGGGCAAATGTAATGCTTATGATTCTGTTATGAGCAAAAAGGAAATGCCTTCTACATCAACCCAAGAATTTGTTGGTAGCATAATTGAACTTTTAGCATTCTAATCTAACAATCGTTATTAGTCTGGATCTACTCATCTCAGAAAATGAAAGAAAAGAGAAATTAATACTTCTGGGCAGAAACATCTTAATAACAATGTGGCATATTGATGCACAGACTCCGATGATGTGAATTGAAACCAGCTTTATTGCAAGCAGGCACACATATTTATACTTGTCTTAACAATAGCAGTATTTTTCCACTTAAACAAGCTAGCTTCGGTTCCTTTTATCAAACCAGACTATGCAGCCAGGATTGTTAGTAGCTCATGTACTCCTTCAATCACTCTCTTATCACACAGGGAGAACAGACTTTCCCAGGTCTGTTTTGAGCATAGTCTCCCATTCACTCCCATGCACATCTTGTATACAAGAAGCGTCTTATCTGTTCATTCTCATGAGCAAACTCCCAACATGAGCTGTACTCGGCTGGTCACGGTCTCTTTTCATTATTTGCAAGAAAGAGTCGTGTACTTGTTTAGAAAAGAGCTCAAAGACAGAAGTCTTAATTTTGCAACGCAGCACTGCCAACATAGCTAACTGTAAAATGTAGGGTATCCACACAATAATGCTGACAATAATTTTAACAGCAGCAACAAAAATAATAATAGTTAAAAGTGTTCTATACACACTTACTAGTTTATACCCTTTCTAAGCATAATGCTTTTACTCTTTCACTGTTTCTCTGAGTTCTAAGGCTTCAGCCTGTTGTTCTTTCATGAAAGGGTCCCTCTACATCTCATGCTCTGTCTCTGTTTCTCAAGGCCTCTGCTATCATACTAGGACTGTATTTCTCAATGTTGCAATCAGAGTTATTTTACATGATATCAGCTCAAAAATCAGGAAAACTCTTTCCTTACTATTGCCTAAGCTGTGAGTCATTAGAGAGACTTTCAGGAGTCCAGACAAAAAGATGCCGTTAAAGTGTTTATCCAGAGAAAACATTTCTAAAATGGCGGAAAATAATGATGTATGAAAAAAGAGATGGAGCCTGGGTGCTGCCTGCTGTTTTGTGGTATTCGTATTTAGCAGCAAGTGCTGGGGGCACAGAGCTGGAGGTGAATCGTGACAATGGCTAAGGTGATTCACTCTCTGCAAGGTGAAGTAATCCCATGCCTATCTCCTTCCCACTTTCCAGAGGGATGTCGTGGTGATATGGGGATTCAGGTATAGCACAACTTCCACAAGGCACAGCACATTTGGAGTGAAGCACAAGAGATGCTTTCAGCAGAGGAAAAAAAAAATGCTAGAGGAAGGACCCTGACTGCTGAAATATATTAAAAGAACACAAAAATTTAATTAAAAAATCATTCTGTGGCAAGCTTAAAGGTCTTTTCCAACCTAAATGACTCTGCTATGATTCTAAGCTTGTAGGGTCACTATCTTACAAACGCATCTCAGAAGCTCACGTTGCCCCATATCACGCCACAGCATATGCCAAAAGGTGGCCCACTGGTCCTCCCAAAAGGATGCTCCGCACGTGGTGTAACCTTCCGGGCCATGGCAGAACTTAGGGCCAACTCCTGTTACCAGAAGCTGGCAGCTCAGCTGGTCTCACAGGAACCATATGCTGTCAGAGTGGCCAGAGACCTGGGTGGGTGCCGAAAACGACTGAGCAGTCCCTGCACCTCTGCCGGGCCTGGAGAGGACACGAACACAGGATTGAAGGAGTCCATTAAGGTGGGCCTTGAATGTTGCTCAGGCAAAGGCGTAGATCAGGGGGTTCAGGCAGCAGTGGATGAAGGAGATGGCTTCTGTCAGCTGCAGGGCCAGGGCTATGTGGTAGCTCGCCTTGCAGTTATTGATGATGTGCAGGCTCTGCAGGGAGTCTAGGAGCAGCGCAATGTTGAAGGGAGTCCAGAAGGGGAAGAAAACAATGACGATGATGAAAATCATCTTGATTGCCTTGATCTTGCTCAGATTTTTGCATTTTTGCAGGTTTTGCAGTATCTGGACATAGCAGCAAATGAGGATGCTAAGGGGAATCAGGAGGCCTAAGATATTCACTGCAAACTGAGAAGCAACCTTCCGGGTATTGTCGCCTTGAGGGTATGTGGAGACACACTGCACAGACTGCTCAATTTTGAGCTGCTGGTTGAACATAATGTTGGGCACAGAAGCCAAACCAGCCACCAGCTACAGGATTAAACTGATAATTATGCCACAAGAGGCTGTCCGTATCCTCATGGCATAGACAGCATGGACAATTGCTATATACCTGTCTATGCTCATGAGGGTTATAAAGAAAATACTACTATAAAAACCTATGTAATAAATGCCAGCCATTATCTTGCACATTGCGTTACCGAAAATCCACTGGTCTGAAATGTAGTGAGCTTGGAAAGGGAGAGGCACCACAAAGAGGAGATCGGAGGCTGCGAGGTTCAACAGACAGATGTCAGTCATCGTCGTCAGCCTTTTCCTGGTCAGGAGAATCCAAAGAACCAAGGAGTTTCCCAGAAGGGAGAAGACAAACACAAGGCAGTAAAAGGATTGGCAGAAAGAGAGATCTGAACGTGCGAAAGCTGTTTCCTTCATCACATGGAGCAGTGTTCTCATCATACCCATGATCATATTCTGTTGTGCCAAGGAACTGGCTCGTGAAATTCATCTCAGATGCTGTGGGCAGACAAAAAAAAAAAGTGAGAAAATGGGCTGAAACATCAGAGGAAGCACTGTATGCATTAGAGAAAGCTGGAGCTAGTGGGAAGATGGAGAGGACTTTAAAAACACTCAGAAGTGCTGAACACCAGCAGAAAGAGGTGTAGAGAACCTGCCAGAAGGCAGGAGGAGCAGCACGAGAGAGCTGGGCTCAGGCTGGTAAAGCCAAGTTGTGGAAGGGGCATGTTTGCGGCATACAGACAACCGTGTTCCCAGTCACACACCGTGTTCCCTGTCTTTTTAGGAGTCCTTGCCTGTTTCAGTTATTGCTGCAACATCTGGGTCTACCCATATCAGCTGTTAACATGCTGTCTTGGTAGGACAATGGCATCTTAATCAAAGCTGTTTAGTCAGACCATTGCCAGTGTCAAAGTACAAATACTTCACATGGTAGAATGGTTCATTTCCTTTTCTTAACAGGGATAATGTATTTGTTACACCTGCATAGAAAGATGCGGCAGAGTTTTTGTGACCAGGTAAGATTTTGAGTAATCAGGGGTTTTGTCATCAAAAAAGTGTATTTAGGTTTACTGAAATATCCTTGAAAGAGCTGAGTTGTTTTCAAGGGGATTCCCCCTGTGCAAGATAGAAAGAAAAAGAAAAAATGTCACATTGCCGTTTTAATTTTTTAAAGTGTCATTTTCAAATATAGCATTTTTTCATAAATAACCTATTCTAACCAGTCTTCCTCAAAACCAGGCAGACCTCAAAGCTTCAGAAAGTTTCTGGTAGAACTGAGAAGTGTCTGTTCTGCTGGTAGCAGACAGAAATTTTTATTTCTCTCTTCAGTTTGGTCAGCAAAAAATACTGACACCCTTTGCCAAAGTGGAGTTGCATTACTGGAAAAAAAGTGCATGTGTATGCAGACATGTACAAATGTGTGTTCAAAAAACCTATCTGCCATTGCTTTGGCTCTCTCTCCTGCAGCAGACGCTCAGTGCAGAAAAACAGGCTGCGAGCCTGAGAGTACTCCCAAAACTGTTGCTGAGTTCTTAGAGAAGAAGCAGCTGGAGGTGCTTGGTGAGGTCTAAATCAGCTTGCTCTGCTTTTTGCTGCTGGCACCAAAGCCACATGGATTACTTCTTTGACAGCTGTGGCCTTGCACAATCACTTAGTTTTGCCTGAGCAGAAATCAGTGCATTGCACAACACCCAGCACCGTAACTCATTCATAACAGTGTCAGCAGTGAGTAGGATTTTCTCACTCATGTTTTGCGACAATGTAGCTGTGGGACAGAAGGAAGTAAGCAAATACATCTCCTGCGTGTGGAGTCTTTGAGAACAAGACTCTTCTCCATCTGTCCCTTATCTGATACTTTATTCTCCTCACCCTAAAGCACTTCAGGTTTTTAAGCCTTTGCTGTCTCACACCTTCAGTACACTGATGCACGAGCACCTCTCAGATTAGTGTCTGCCTCCGCTTTGCCTAAGGGTGGAGAACAGAGAAAGGTGCAAGCGAGAATGGGTTAGAGTAGAGAAATCACAGAAAACAGAGCTGGATGAGACACTGGGAGATCGCATCGTCCATCCCCTTTCTTGAAGGCAGGGGCAGTGTCCCACTGTGATTCTTGCCACATGATCATTCAGTCTGCTCCTGTAGCCCCTGCTCTTGCCCCAGCTTCTCCTTACAAACCATCCCACTGCTTCTGCAGACTCACTGCTAACAATTTTTTCTTAATAACTAACCTAAAATTCTCCTGGTGTGATCCGAGTCAATTATTAATTTTCTCTGTGGAGGAACAATTGTTATTTTCTTTGATCTGCTTTAAAATATTCTAAGATCAATCTTGATAGTTCATATTCCATCATCTTTTTCCTTTTAGGCCTCATTTTCTAAATTGTTAATCGTAGCCAGTGTTTTCCTTAATGTCTTTTGCATTGCAACACCCAAAATGTGACAGACCACCAGCCATGGCCTTAGCCTTGGCAAAGCAGACTGCAGGAGTCCTGCCGGGGGTAGCTGTCTTCTTTTGCAATCATGTAGTGCTGATGATTCATATTTCTCTCATGCACCCAAATCCTTTTCTCTAGAAGTGCTGCCTTCCCCATCCTGTGGTCTTGGCTGTTCTTGCCCATGTGCAGAAGTGGGTGTTTGTCCATAACGAGCCCATCACTCCTGGGATTTTTCGTCTGTTAAGGTCAGGTTGAGTGGTTCGTCCTGTCCCCCAGTACATTTACACCCCTTCCTGAGGGGGTGGCAAGTGTAAAAATAATAAAAACATGCACCAGCCTTTTGTCCAGAGCAGCGATGTGCATGCTGGCCTGCCTTCCAGCCTCTGGACTATCTTTGTGGCCTTTCGCTCGACCCTCTCCAACCTGTTCACAGCTTTTGCTTTTGAAAACCTGAAAGAATGCTTTTCAACATATGAAACCATGTTCTTTAAACAAGGAATCCTGTGTGGTTTAAGACTGGGGTGGTGACTCCACGTCCCTGGATTCAAACCTGCACCCTGCTGCTGACAGCACGTCCCCTTGGAGGGGTTGCATGCCTCCCCCAGGGTCGGCTGGTCTTGACGCAGGAGCGTCATACAGCGAAATCTGGGCAACGGGGTCCCATCCCGCTGGCACTTCCCACCTAGACCATAGCGGCTGCTATCTCAAAACACATTGGCAAAGCATTGTCCTGTCTTTTGTGTCTACTCTTAGGCCCCCACCTTTGCTGAGGGTGTGAAAAGAGGCTTTGCTGGGGTGACACACACCTTCCATGCTGCTGGGGTTTGAAAAGTGTGAGGAGAGCTCACCAAAGCTGCTAAGTCTGTGTCTGAGCTGCAGGTAAACAGGAAGCTGCTGAACAGCTTTATTATTTTTCTTGGGGTTTTAGGTTCTTTTGGTCTGGTTCTTGTAGCTGTTCATCTTCACTGACTTTGTCTCAGGAAACGCATTTTTTTGCCACCTCTCACAGGAAATGTGCAAGATACGGTAAGTGTTAAAAACCTCAGAGTTAGCTCAACTCACTGTAAGAGAGGTGGTGAGTCAAAGGGCTGGCGACAGGGACATGGCAATCGCACTGGCATGAGCTAAAAGCCCATGGGTCAAGCTTACAATGGGGAAAGTAGGGCTAAGAGGATTTGACCGTGCAGAATACAAACATATGCTTTTGTGCTGTGATTAGATGTTGCAACTCGGAGGCTTTTCGCTCATCTCAGAAAGAGCTTTCAAACCTTTCTAGGCAGGAGAGCCAGAGGCATAGCTCTCTGTCCAGAGCTGCTGCACCAAGGCTCTTGGGAACTCATTTTGAACATCCAAGACCCACTGAGGAGCCTGCTGCCCACATCAGGCACGTCCACCACTGCTTCAGCCACGGCTAAAGTGACCTTGTGTTGACAGGTGGGACTCTGCTTCGTGCATCAACCCTTCTCACCCCTTCTTAGCATCAGTAACAAGGAGGATCCCTTAGGCTAGCCAGGGTGAAAGAGAGCTTGCACTCCCACGGTTTGCACTGTTCTTCCTCTGCTGTGGGCTGGGGCTGGGATATGCACAGCTCAGCGAAGGTAAGAGATACAGCCCGATAATGCTCAGAAAAATACCAGGTTCAGCAAGGAGCTGAGTTGAAGAGGAAGAGTATCTTTCCAGTATGTAGATGCATAGGGCAGGTTTCCTTCTCATTACCAAACTGCAGTTTCATGTTTTTCTGGTGTACTGAAAACACAAGATGGACTTTTGTGGGTTTCAAATGAGTGGGACAACACAGATGAACTTTTGCCACTGCGTAGGGAAAAATCTTTATTTCCTCTTACAATACTCAGAATTTTTTTTTGCTGACTCTTTTCTGATACACTTTGATAATTCCAAGTACCATTAAGATTTTGTACTTTCCCTCTTATAAGTCTGTAATAGAAGAGCAAAAAAACTCAAAAGTTTCATTAACCTTTTGAAACCACTAGGTGTGAATGTGTCTTTCTGACCAGGACCACCTGCAAGACCAGCTTTTACAGACACGATTAAGAGTAATGTGTCTGCATTTCTCGGACAGAGCCAAGGACACTTGAGAAATCCTAACGTTGAGAGTTGAGCCATGGTGCTTTAGGCAATCTTTGAAGAAAAAGCAAGCTCTTGAATTAGTCTCACATGTTATTGAATACTACCCAATAACAAAAGGAACTGGTTTGAGTATGCTTCTTTTACCCAAAATGCTGCTCTGCTTCCGTCATCTTTATTCTGTCAAATATATGCAAAGCCAATGATTCCGAACTCTGAAAACCCTTCCTGGTGTGAGCTTTCCCGAGGGAGGAGCGCAGAGCACAGACAGGGGCGGCCAGCACTGGGAAACCCTCATGCCTTACATTGCCAAGGATAATTGTCACAAGCTGGGAAAAACAAAGTTCGTCTTTGTGATTACTTGGGACTTTTAACAGTAAAATGCATCTGAAGATGGAACAGAACAACCCTCATATATTCTTACTATATATCATTTCAGTTCTGGAAAATGAAAAACAAAGTTAGACCAGAAATTCTCCATGGTAATACAGTAAAGTAGATGCACAGTCTAAGGCAGCAAAGTGAAACCACATTAAAAAAAAAAAAAAGCTGCGTGATGTTCTGGGGTTTTCTGTGCCTTTTGAAATGTCAATAGATATTCTGATAAGACATCAAACAGCAGCTAGCCACATCTACCACAGAAAGTTAACATTTCATGTACTTTCCAACCAGGTACGGAATTCAACAATACAAGTGTGTTCCCAACATGATTTCATTTATGCTCTCAACAGCATTTCATACCAGCATTTTATAAGCCCGACATCCAGACTTGCTTTTAATACAAAGTTAGTATTTAGTACATCTTAGGTCTAGGATCCTAAACTATGGTCTGAGGGTGCTGATGACCATCTAGAAGCTAGGGATGGGATTACCGGAGGTGAAAAGTGTGGCAGAGCTGACAGATGTGCCAGGTTACTGTCAACTAGAGACATGGGTTCAAAAATACATGGATCAGCTGCAGGGAAGGAGCAAC